AGTTAGAAACATCGATGAGAGAGAAACATCGACCAGCTGCCTCCTGCACATCTCCTACTGGGGATGTGCCCGCAACCCAGGTACATGCCCTTGACCGGAATCGAACCTGGGACCTTTCAGTCCGAAGGCCGACGCTCTATCCACTGAGCCAAACCGGTTTCGGCTCATGTTTTTCTTTTTATTACAACACAATTATCCCATCGTCACATGCTCGTTACGGAGCGTAAAAATGGCAAAAGGAAAAAATAAAGATCGCCCCCTAGAAGTAATTACTCTGCAACCTTCTTACTTCCACTGAAAAACACGGGCTGGGCATCTTCCCGTCTCAGCGGGTTTCTCACTGACACCTTTCCAGGGCTTCCTGGCCCGCTGTACGCTGTAATACGTGTTTCGTTGCCATTTTCAGCTCCAATTCAAACGTTTTTCATGTGATCACTAAGCGGCCTGGCCATGGGAACCGTGTGCAGCTTGACAAACATTTAGTGTGACGGTGAGCAAGCACTTTACCGAGACTGCGCGCTGCAATCACAACTATTTTTGTATTAATCCTTAGAAAAAAGGATTGAAGAACATGCATGCAAATGCCATTTGCGCTGGGGCTAGAGCTATATGTGAACACTTGCTTGTCTCTACCTCCCGTGGTTTTGGGCAGTGTGAAAAGTCAGTCTATAATGAAAAAGATCCTTAAGTTCCCGTGACAGCTAACGGTGCTCGTGTGGAATGCAGCCAAGGAACGAAGACTTTCTAGTCGGTAATTCCCTTCTAATGACTGTCCTTCTGACCTTGAACTTGACCGAAATGACCATAGTAAAGACACCCCATTGCTTCTTCCCAAGGGATTTGCCTGGTGAATGTGGGGCGGGAAGGGGAGGGAAACGGGTTGGACCAGCTCTCGGGGGAGATGATCCTGTGTCCAGCCTCAAGGAGGCGCTGGTTCTGAGTTGCTCGCAAGCCCTGCCCGGCGGTGGTGGGGACCGACAGCCGCCTGCCCGGACCAAGCGGCCTCCTGGGGCCTGGGAAGACGCCTTAGAACGAGACGGTCCACACGCCCAGGTAAGCAGCCACTCTGTCTTATTCCTAGGAAAGCCAGGGTCTTCATGTTCCTGGTTTCTCCCTGGAAAAGCATCTTCCCAGGGAAACTCGATCCACCCAGGAAGCTGTCATGAGCAGCCTCAAGGCCAAGGCAGGAGCTGAGGAAGGTGGGAACAGGGCCCCACCCGTACAGAGCCGGGTGATGGCTTGCTCAGAAGCGATGGGAAACGTGCTTCTCCCTTTTGAGAAGTTGAGTAAACTAGATAAGGTCATTTTTTAAAATGTGTTTTTATTGATTTCAGAGTGGGAGGGCGAGGGAGAGAGAAACATCAATGATGACAGAGAATCACTGATCGGCTGCCTCCTGCACACCCCACACTGGGGATCAAGCCACAACCTGGGCCTGGGCCCGGCTGGGAATCGTGACCTCCTGGTTCACGGGTCAACGCTCAACCCCTGAGCCACGCACCTGTGGGCTCCCCAGCAGCGGGCATGTCACGTGTGGGCTCCCAGGCAGCGAGCATGTCACGTGTGGGCTCCCAGGCAGCGGGAATGTCATGTATGGGCTTGACATGGGGCCAGTGTGACCACGTGGGGTTGGCTCTGCGAGGGGCCGGCTGTCCCAGCTGGAAGGTGGGTGGGAATTGACGGGACACAGTGCTGCGGGGAAGCCCTGGGCGAGAAGCAGCGAACACCTTCGGAGGGAAAGTGTCGCCCTGCACCGCACT